AAAAAGCTGTTTGCAGAATTAATGACAGAAAACTTCCCAGAGGGGAAGAATTTGATATCCAGATAACTGAGGCATATAGGACTCCAATTAGCTACAATCAAAAAAAAATCTACACCTAGACATATAATAATCAAGATCCCAGAAACCCAACAGAAGAACAAAATACAACAAGCAGTAAGAGAAAAGAAACAAATCACAAACAAAGGAAAACCCATCAGAATCACAGCAGACTTTTCAACACAAACCCTTGGGGCAAGGAGAGCCTGGAATGAGATATTTCAAGTACTAAAAGAGGACAACCTCCAACCTAGACTGATGTATCCAGCAAAACTCTCTTTCAAAGTGGATGGAGAAATAAGACACTTCCACGACAAAGAACACCTGAAAAACTACATGAATACCAAACCAGCACTACAAGCAATTCTAAACAAGATTCTAGAAAAAGACAATGAAGGCAACAACACCATGAGGCCCAACAGAGCAAATCAAATAGGCAAGGCAAGAAATTAAAAGGAGAAGGTGAAAAAGTAAAAAGAGTCAACAAAAGGCCAATAACATGTCAATAATAAGTCAGTACATATCAGTTATAACCAGCAATGTCAATGGCCTCAACTCACCAATCAAGAGAAATAGACTGGCAAAATGGAATAAGAAGCAAAATCCAACAATATGTTGTATACAAGAAACACACCTAGTGCAAAAAGAAGCCCATAGACTGAAAGTGAAAAGATAGAAAACAATTCTCCATGTGACAGGAGCCCAGAAAAAAACAGGGGTAGCAATCTTATTTGCAGACAAAGTAAATTTCAAACCAAAACTGAATCTAGTATTATTGATGTAGGACAGTACTGTATCATACCTCTATGAATGTAAAATATCTAGTACCTGCTTTATGATACATAGTAGGGACCGTGCTTTATCAGAGCTACATTTAATGATATTACTCTAGAATGTTCTCTTTCCAGATGATGATTAAGAGGCTAATAGAAAAAATGGTGCCAGGTACCACAACAGCAACAGAACTTTGCTGTTTTCTGGATATTATTCTTTTCTTTGTTTTGTTTTTTTTTTTTTAAATGGAACGTGCTGAATGTCTATAATTTTGTTTCGATGCATAACATACTATTATTAGTCTTTTTATATCAATATATATAAATTGAATTTTGGGAAACTTTAACGGTGCTGCCAACTTTGGAAAAAGTCATCCCAATTTACACTGTTGAGTTGGCATTGTACAGAAATGGACAACCATATTGGTCTAGAAATGTTAATTTATTTTTATTTTTATTTTTTATTTTTTTTCCATGTGTACAGGGGTAACACATCGTACTAAATATGTAAGGTCATATCTACGTGGGTTTGATTACAGAAACTAATAAAGTATTCTCTAAATAATGAAAAAAAGAATAAGATAAGACTATAAGAGCGAGAAGCAATTTAAATATGTTCAGGGACCATTTTCATCTCCAGAATTAAGGATTATTTTGATGTTACATCACTGCCTTTTCTCTTTTACTTTCCTTTTTAGTTTTATTTTAGGATTCCCTATTTTTAATGTTCATACAGAGATTTCTTTAACTGAAATACCGAATAGTTTCTTTGGTGTGAAAAACTATAATAGTACACAGGATCCTAATGAGATAATTAATAATGTGAAATAGGAAGTAAAGGGCTAAAGGTGTAGGGAAAGTGGGAAGGGTGGGGGAAAGGTAATAAGGGAGAGGAAAAAAATATGAGAAACTGAAAAAATGGAAATAAAGTGTTGGTAAATAAGGAGGGGAGGAGGGGGTGAAGGGAGGGCAGGGACAAGGGGAAAAAATGAGAATCAAGACCTATTATGTAAAGGTACAGAATCCCAATGATGAATGTAACTGTATTGTATACATAGATTGTACCAATAAACTCAATAAAAAGAAAAAATTTCTGGGAGTAGGAGTAGTGATTGAAAACAAAGTCTTTTGTTCATCTTCCAAAAGTCACCAAACACACCCATTGGCTTACATATTCATTTTGACCATCAGTAAAATTATTAATAAATACAGTGGATGTAATTTGATCACTCTACTAAACTGGTATAAACCCTATGCTATTGCCAAATGATTCTAATCCACAGTTTACAAACATTTCATCCAATTCTGCACGGTTAAAATTAGGGCAATTAGTTAACAAGTTCTCACCTACCTACCTATAAAATGGATATATGTGTATGTATAATTTCACATCATAAGGGCTCTCAGCTTCTTTGCCCTTTACTGACTTTCCCTGGCCATTGCCCCCTCCAATAAAACTACCATAACCCCTTGTCAGCTTTCCCAATGCTGCCCAAAATACCTGACTCACACAACTCAAATGATGAGGTTTTTGTTTCAGCCCATGGTTGACCGGTTCCAAGACTGAAACAGCGCGGCAAAAGGTTGTGGGGAAGCAAAGCTGCTAGGTAGCAGAGCAGGGGAACAGTACCTGAAAGGAAGGGCCAGGAAGCAGAATAGTCCCCAAGGTCATGACTCCATGACCACGCAGACACGCCCAGAAGTGTGGTTCACTACTCTCCTGGGAAGCTCTAAAGCCAATCAAGTGGACGATCCAGTGTAAGTATCACACCATGCTTCCATTTTTCCCTTTCTCTCACATATCTGGAACATTAAAGACAGAGCAGAAATAGCAGATGTTTCACAAAAATGAATCACACATTCAGGAGCTAAAAACTCAAGAGCTTCTGTTCTCACAATCCATTTGGAGCTCATTCTAAATGAGAACTCACGTTTCACAAAACTTTTCTTTGAAGAATGGAATGGATATGAAAAGCAAACTTGGGCTATTATTCAAACAAATCAGAAAACACACTAGCTACACTATTTAGGCTTTAGTTTTTTAAAAAAACAAGATCTCAGTATCATATGGTTTTTTTTTTTTTTAAAAGTGTTCCTTAAACAAAGACTCATGCATACCTCCTCTTGTGACTTGTTAGTAGAAAATAATTTACTAATCTCTAGATTTTTTGTGTATGCTTTTATTCAATGTATAAATGTTATAAGAAATGCATTTTTCTTTTTTGCATTACTGGGGATTGAATCAAGGCCACCACACCAAGCTATATCCCCAGACCCCCTCTTTATTTAAAATTTTGTGTGAGGGTCTCACGAAGTTGCTGTTACCCATGCTGGGTTCAAACCTATGATCCCCTCCCAGAGTATGCAGGATCCAGAGTACTGAGATTACAGGTGTGTGCCACCATTCCCCGCTAAAAACATATTGATAAAGCTCAATATTTTCATTTCAACAGCATTCTGACACAGAGAACCCTTACAAATGAGCAGTGATCTCTCACCCTTATTTAAAGATGACTTTTGCCTTTTTAATCCTCCAGCTGGAGAAAACAGAAATAGTAGTGGTTAATTTGCTGAGGAAATCCAGAAATTACATTCTTTTGAATTCTTAAGTGGTAGAAAATACTTGGACAAAATTGAGTAAATGAATTATTTAAAACAGAGGTCCTCAACTTTGACACTTGACATCTTGGATCCAATAATTCTTTACTGTAGGAGGTTATCCTCTGCACTGTAGGATTTTAGCAACAACCCTGGTCTCATTAGATAGATGCCAGTACTACCATCCTTCCCTCCCAGCTGTGACACCTAAAAATGTCTCCAGACACTGCCATGTGCCCTTAGAGAAATCATCTTTAGCCGAGATCTGAGTGAAAGAAGGAAAAGGCCCAAAGCTGAATGTTCAACAACAACAAAAAAAGCTCTATGACTCTGCAACCGCACAAAAGCATTAGTTTGTTTTTATACCTTATCTCAAAAGTTTTTCCCAAGTTTCACATTTTCCCAATGGAATAATTTCTTCAAGGTGCAAATAACACTCCAGACAAGAAGGTAAGTTTATTTTACTATCCAATTTTTTCTTAAAAAAAGTTTAATGCTTGATAAAATAAAACAAATTTTTAGTATCTTAGAAACCTTCTGACATGTACAATGACATATTATTATTATGTACAATTTCAAAAAGAAAAGCTTCCACCTTCAAGTAAAGTGATGTTGAACATCCTGACTATACTTAAGCTAAGAAATTTCCTAGATGGCCAATGTTTTCCTTGACTTGGAAATAAATCAGACAATTGAAAAATATAAATAAAGACCTTCAATTAATCGAGAATCATAAAAATGCTATATGAAGTTCATTCATCTGGGAGGTTTGTAGTAGTTGTAAAAATTCAACAAGCAACATGAAACCCTGTGAATGTTCAAACTTCAGTCTTCCAGGACAGGTCCTGTAGGTTCACAGTTGGTCTTTTAAAGACAAAAAGCTATCCCTTCTTGTAGCAGAACTTGGCATTTGCCTCATATTCCATTTTTCACCAGCTCATGGACTCCATTCTCATCGATGATTAGAGGTGCATGGAATTCTTTGTCTGCCACATAACTTTCTAGTCCCTAAAAAGAAGATTGACATAAGACACAGAAATTACAAAATTGGTAGGTGTAATATTGGACTTAGTAGCTGTCATAAAGACTTAAACCATGAAGTCAAAGTTAGTTAGTTATGAAGAATTTAAAAGAAAAAAATCTATTTCATATACTTTTAAAATTAAACTCAATGACTGATTTATAAGTCAATGACTTATCAATGTCTCAATGACTGAGACAAATAACAACAATGAAAGTTATTCTTAATGATAATTTCTGTGTGTGTGTGTGTGTGTGTGTGTGTGTGTGGTACAGCAGATTGAACCTAGGACCTTGAACATGCTAGACAGTGGTCAGAATATAATTTGTAAAGTTAATTAAGGTGCTATTCATTCTCACCTTAATCATCACTCAATAAAAATAACTTTCTAATAAGCAAGATGGCTATCTCTAATAGGGCATGATGGTGCACACTTGTAATCCCAGCACTTAGAAGGCTGAGAAAGGATTCCTGTGAGTTCAAGGTGAGCCTGGGCTACACAATGAGAATCTGTCTTTAAAAAAGTCTAGGCTGAGGGTTTAGCTCAGTGGCATGGCACCTGCCTTGCAAGTGCAAGGTCCTGAGTTTGATCCCCAGTACCAAAAAATAAAAAAAATTAAAAAAAAAAAAATTTAAAAAGTCTACCTCTGATGCTAGTATACAGACATGATCTCTAGGGAAAACAAAACAAAACAAAACAAAACAAAACAAAACAAAAAAAAACACTACATAACTAGAATAGTAGAGAGCCCTCAAATGCTCAGGTTTTAAAAAGTGACAGACTATTAAATATATGAACAAAATGGATACTGTGAAAGGAAATTTACATTACATTAGAGTCAAACAGATGATCTATCCAAAAATAAGGCACATCAAATATTTTTAAAGCCTACTGCATTAAAATAAGGCTCACTATATATTTTTAAAGCCTACTGCATTTCAATGAATATATGAAATGAACTGAACATTACAGATTTCTATTAATGACAATTAAATTACAGGACAGGTGCAAAAACATAACAAGAATTCAGAACAAATGCAGCTTCTCAGCACACTCCAGGAAGAGTCCTTCAGCACAGAACTGTTAAAAAATACTGCATGTTCTCTAAAGACAACTGTTCTTAAACATGAAACAATGCCAGAACCCTATATTTTTATTTTTATCTTTTTTCTTTTTGGGGGGAATCAAACTCAGTACCTTGGGCTTCCAAGGAATGCAGCGGCAGCGGCGGCACCACTGAGCTAAATCCCTGGCCCCTATATTTTTTAAAAGTTGTATCTTATTTATCCAATTAAGCAAATAATTATATAGAGGGTACAGTGTGCTGTTCCAATGCATGTACACATGTTGAGTGATTAAATCAGGCTAATTAACATATCCCTCTCCTCAAACATTAAAAATTTATAAAAATTAAGATTTATTTAAAATCTGCTCTCTTTTAACTATTTGGAAATATACAATACTTTATGAAACAAATAGGAAAAAAAGCAAAGTGAACTTACTTCTCCAGCATAGGAAATAAGAGGAGAAATCTCACACTGGATTGGTACATCATTGGCATCCTTCAAGCTGAGAAAAAAATCCAAATACTTTTTCAGGATTTTGCTTCCCATGTTACAAGCCAGAGTGGAAATACAGACCGTAAATGTCCTCTGAGAAACTTGCAGATAACGAAACAAATGGAATGGCCCCTACTTCATCATAGTTAAACTCCCTGAGGATTAATTTAGCATTAAATTCTCATATTCAAAAAAACACTCTTTGGAGATATGCCAATAATTGATTTTTCTTTAGAATATTTCACCAATATTTACACATTATCCCCTTGAATATATAGTACCTCAATCCTTTACAATTTCAAGTCTCATAAAATTGATAAGAAGGGACTACTAAGTGTATACTCAGTGCCAGTCCCACTGCTAGGTATCTTAAATTCTTTGTACTTTGTTTTAATTTTCACTACAATCTTTCGAGTCAGGCACTAATGCTGACAAACAATACAGAGCTGCACTGTCCAATACAATAGCCAATAGCAATGGATGGCTATTTAATTAACATTTTAAAAACAAATTAAAAATTAAGTTTGTTAGTCACAATAATCACATTTCAAGTGACTGGCAGCCATGAGTGGCCAGGAACTGCCAAACTGGACAGCACAGGTATAGTTTATTTCCATCACTGCAGAAAGTTCCAGTAGACAGCACTGTTCTACATGTCAGTTAAATTACTTCCCAGGACACCACTTTTTGTATAATCCAGATTTCCTGGGTTGGCTGAACTACTTACTCATTATGTTTCAAAGTACTTCTTTTACCAAGTCTCTGAAAAGTGAGAAAGCAGAATTCACCCAATCAAATGCAAAGCCAAAGCAACCGTTTGCTTAATTGTAGGAAACAATCTAATATTCATAGCCATGTGCAATTCTGAATTTCTAGACTATCTAACATAAAAGTTTACAAATACTGTTTTCAATACACTTACACAGTCATTAGACTGCTACATTTCAGCAATCTTAGCAATAAGGATCTTGCAGCCTCAAACCATAGTTCTTCTCTCCTTTCCCAAGTATGAAATCTCAAACTTCAGTGGAGTCAAAAAAATAAGAGCTTCTGAGGTTAGCCACAGGCCAGTCATTCTCCAAACAGAAATGAGTGACATACAAGGCACTCTCTTTATCCTACTCAACTCACTTAATCCTGCTACTTTCTACTCGAACCGGGCCAGTCACATGCTCTTTGGATTTTTCAAGTCATTCTCAACTATGGTCTCTCTGACCATAAAAATCACACTCATCCTCCATGATTTAGCTCAAACCCCAGCCTCCTTTTCATAATGATTATCCCCATTCATTTGTTCATATAAAATAAATTTATTATACAACCTGCTGAGTCCATTAACTCAATTAACTCTGTACCACAGAGTACATAATCATATATTGCCCAACAATGTCACTTAATTTTTATGGAACTGCCATCTTGAACTCCCAGAAGGCTATAAATTCTATTTATCTTATGTAAGATACTTTAAGAATTTATGTTACCAGCAGCACCTACAGGCCTGTGAGCGGGCCTACCAATGCTTGCAGAATGAATGAATCAATTAACCGAGGAGATAGATGGATGATGGCCTAATGCAGAGAAAAGAAGAAGCAGATATTGGGTATATATCTCTTCAGATATGGGCCAGATTCTATCACAAGAGGTCTAGATCAGACCCTCTAGAGCAGCTCAGTATAATAAAACAAATGGGAAAAATGAGGAGCCATTCCACTGATAAGATGTATACAGTAGTGTCACCTAATCCCCTGAAAAGTTCAGGGTACCAAGATAAGAATGTGGCTTTGAGCCAAAGGAAACACATATCTAGCTGATCTGAAATATAACCTCTCCTAATACCACAGTGATACGCAAAAAAACTATGAAAGTCAACTTTCATAAACAAAGTTGGATGACCCCAAGGAAGAAAGACAGAAGCTGCCATCACCAAATGTAGAATCTGAGTTTAGAGGCTGATTAACCCAGCCACACTACTGTCCATATTCCTCAGCCACGCATCCTTTTTAAAGCACTGCTCGTGAGCTTTAATGTGAGAAATAAAAACAATGACATTTTGTCAAAACTCTGGGACCTTGTTCCCATTCTTTCAGAATGTCTTCAAACTATTTCTTCTCTCTTGTACACAAAGTATTTCCTTTCATCTCAGTTTTAAGTAATCTCTTCCAATTCTCTAAAGGAATCCTTTAGGGCTAACGATTTTAGCAGGAACCACTTTTAAGCTCATGATGTCATTTGGGGCCAAAATCAGTACAATTATTCTCCCAATGGCTAAAATTAAGTAAATGGAAGGGAAGTGAAGACTAAATAAAACTACCCAAATAAGAATGATAATGTTTAAAACTTTCTGTATCTTAACAAAGATAGCTGAATTTGTTTTCAGCTGTATAATTAAGAAAAAAACTTCACTTTTAAATTGACAAGTTTAAGTTAAAGCTATGGTTTTGTAAGAAGAAAATTCAGGGAGGGTCAAAGTTATATTTCTTAAACAATAAAGTCTGCTTGCTATAACATATTAAAAATGATGGGTGAGTCAGAAAATGGCAAAGAGATCTGCATGCCTATACCCAAGACAAAAGTCATCTATAACTCTTAAAGAAACTAGCCAATTCTTAGAGTCCAATCTCTCATCTACCCTCCCAGACACTGCCACTTACAGGGACTTGTCCCACAAGTTCTGAGTTAGTATCATCCAGTCAGATACCTGCCACCCATGGGCAAAGATAAGCAGGACAGAACAAAGCATGTGATGAAACCGTCACCAGTGCTGCTGTATTTCTGAGACAACTTCCATTTCCAGATCCTTTTTCCTAACACATTTCCCAAATTACCTTAAAAACAAAATGCATACTAAACCTAATAACTTAGAAAATAGAGCTGTCTTTTTAGCCATAAAGATAAAATGGCTTTTAAAAGCTGTCATGCCCATCCCAGTAATGAATGTAATGAATGTAACTGTACTGTCTACCTAGAATGTACCAATAAATTAAATTTTTTAAAAAAAGCTGTCATGCCCAGAAAAGAGAGGACATGTGCTACTTCCAGCTAAAAATGACTTGCTGTTAAAACAAACAAAAAATTATTTGCTTTAGAAGCAAGATAACTAGTAAAACTAAAATAAAAAACAGTAACCCAAAAAGAATAAATCAATAGAACAATTTTCTTTATATTAAGGGCCATCATACATGTTAGGAACAGTTGGCTTTATATGAAAGCATATATTCCATTTGGTAAAAAATACTTTCAGAATTTTACTTTTTTCCAAGCGTGATGGCACACGCCTCTAATCCCAGCACCCTGGGAAGGTGAGGCAGGAGGATCACAAGTTTAAACCCGGCTTGGACAATTCAGTAACTAGACACCCCCGTCTAAAAAAAGAGGGTTGGGATGGGGTGACAGTTCAGTGCAAAGGCTCTGGAATCAACCCCCACACCAAAAGAGACAAAACAACAACAAATGAAAGAATGTTACTTTTATCTAACTTATGCTAAAAGGTGCAAGCAGGGATCCCAATCTGTCCTTTCTGTCCTGTAACCTTCTCTGGACCCTGTGTAACACCTGTAAATCTATCACTATGGGCTTAAACACAGATTCTTTAGTAAAGCATGCTCCCCACTTCAGGCATGCACTGAGATTCTGAGTTAGTGTCATCCAGACAGATACCTGCCACCAAGTAAGCAGTGCACCCCCACCAAAGCTTCAATTGTCCTCCCTTCAGACCCCCAAGGCAGAGCTCTAAACTACAATGCCAGTTAGTATGGAGGGAAGCACAGCCCACCACCATGCACTGCAGGCAGGCTGGTATATTTACTTGTGATTGACATCTGCTGTGGTGGTCTCTGATTTTCCATTTGTAGCATTGCTATGTAGGAATAAATAAGCATTAATGGGAATGAAAACAAATCAAATAGTAACAATGAAGTGGAGCTGCAAAATATACTTGACCAAATGGCACTTATTTATGGCAAATCATAAATTTGGCACAAAGGACCTAAAGGGATTAAAAAAACAAAACAAAATAGATTCAATGGTCAAAGAATGAAGCATGAGAACAACGTGACACGCCACAGAGCAAGTTTGTTGACAAGGCAGAGTCTTTAAATGGTCTGGGCCAGGAGAGGAGAAGCTAACACTGTTCCTTCTCATCAAAAGTTATGGAACGGTGAATTCCCCTACCCAGGGTGCGAAACATTCACTGAGGCTTTCTAGAGCTTATGTGCATACAGCCAGGCACTTCTCCCCTTAAGAACTTACATTAAATGGATTTTTACCTACGTACAGAAATACCAAGTGACTCAGAAATGAAAATTCTAGGTACCAGTAAGTTTTACCATAAAATATAAGATTTAGTTTAAAAGTGCTGTATCTCAAATTCAATTGGTTGCAAATGCCTTCTTTTTACTTCAGAAAACCTAAAATGTTTCTAAAATTTGAGTATCAGTGAATACAACTGGCATCTACTTCCCTTCCCAGTACCTTCCCTAGTGCATGGTGAAAAGGGCTACATCTCTCAGGTAGCTAGAGGTGGCGAGGCTCTGAGTGGGTTTCACAAAAAACACCTGTAGTGAGTCCACAGAAACATAAGCAGCAACACCAGACCTTTGGGCCGGAGGGATACACTCTGGTGAAGTGTATTGCTGATGGGTTTTAAACATACAAAACGCCAAAATAATTATCTTCTCACCCAGTAGGAGTGATTTCATTGACACGGAGGGAATGTTTTAAAAAACCCAAGAGATCCAGAAGTGACTCCTCTTTTAAGGAGTCCTCTTTGTGATGGACAAAGCTGTTGCTCTTTCACATCAGGAACCGCCCACACAACAATACCCTGGTATACACTAGGGAGAGAAGGAAGAAGTCCAAAAACAAAATCCAAGAAAGTACTCACACCAATGAGAAAAGATATGAACTTACCGGGGAATTGCTGGAAGGCGAGAACCATTTTCATCTATAAAGTGGCCCCCAGCATTGAGGACCCAGCAATGATGAAGGGACATCAGAGCATGCCTTGCAGTTGTAGGGTTGTCCTTCCCATTCTGACTGTCTGCATTCTTTAGCGGGGAAAATTCATCTTCCCGTAATACTTCATACACCACAAACTTCCTAGAGTGAAACCATACAAAGACTTACTATGGAATAAAACCTCATACACAGCTTCCAACCCCTCTCTACACAGCTAAGCCTTTGGTATTCAATAATAGGCTTTCTGAATCCCATTTTGAATAATGAATAAAATAATGCTCATCCCTGGACCAAAGTTGGAATTTTCTTTTCCAGTACAAAATGACAAGTTCGTTCATTTCCAACTAGAAAATATTTCAGCTTATATCAGAAAGATTAGAAAACTCTTAATGAACAAAAATCACATTACCATATGCTCTGAGGGGGGAAATACAGATGAAAAGGATGCTTTAGAAATGTGTATGGGGAGACTGATCATATCCAACTAATTTGTCTTCTCCATATTCACACTGGTCAAATTGTGATACATGTACCTCAACATCCAATGTGATCTTGAGAGAGAGAGCTATATAATCTAAAAGCATATTCTCTGAAACATTTACTCATAGCTCAGTCCTATATCCTAAATACAATATAGGTCAATTGTTTACCTTACCCTTACTATAATCTCTTACCCAAAGATAAATGACTTTAACAAATTGCAGCACAGCCAGAGAACGGAACTGTTGGTAAAAAGAACACTGCACTCTCAGGCACCACAGACCTTGGAGTGCCTCTTGGGAGGGCCAGTTCTGCACTCACCATCAAAATGCCTGAGACACAGGCTTCCTGCCTAAGACAGTAAGGAGCAACATTTCAAGACATATATTTAATCTTACTGGTGCTATTCAAAGCATACTTTGCAAACTGGAAGATGTCAAAGACAAACTTTTCCATCTTTATTCCATTTGGCTTTTCTGGCTTAATTAATTCCCCCTGGGAATCCACATATGGAATCTTCTTTTGAGCCACATGGTGCTGCAGCTGAGGTTCATAAACACTAAGAAGGGAAAAAAGGCATAATCACTTTCCAGATTTAAAATGCCATAAACTCGAATGACACTCAGGAGGAAATACATCACCAAGCAGCACCAAGGTTTCCAAAATGAAGAGCCTTTCTACACTTCAGCTCATATTTAACTATAAACAAATACATTCTCTATTCATTTCCTTACATTTAAAAAAGTCAAACGATTTCCACATTTTAATATCACCACACACGAACAAAAATACACAGAATTCATGCCAGTGTCTTGCCCATTAATTTCATGTCTTTTAAAAATGTACTCACAGCCCCAACTTTCCATACTAAGATCCCTTTGAGTGCAGTATGGAAAGGTAATAAAAGTTACTATGAGCTGAGTATAGTGGTGCAGGCCTGCTGTCCCAGCTGCATGGGAGGCTGAGGCAGAAAAACCTCAAGTTCAAGGACATATGGGCAACTGAATGAGATAATATCTCAAAGTAAGTATTTTTGTTTTTTGTTTGTAGGTGCTAAAGGTATGGCTCAATGGTAGAGCATCTGCCTAACACCTATGTGGTCCTTGGTTCAATCCAGCACCAACCCCACCAAAAAAAGTTATAATGGATGATGTTATTATGTAATAACAGCTACAAGTAACAAAGTAAAATGGAAAATCTTTTGAAACTGGAGTAAAGTTTCACCTGATTTGACCATTCTATGACGCATAAGTATATAAAAACAAAACAATGGACCCTAAACATATATGATTATTACGTCAATTTAAAAATTAAAATGAATCTTAGTTTTTTAAAAACAGATAAACCTGAATGCCTGAAAGCTATCAAGTAACTTACAGTGAAAATGTCCTTCCTTTAAAAATCTGATGGGATACAACATCTGTTTTATATTTTGTGGTACTACCAAGGTAATTTTCACCCAAGTCTCAAGTCCTTTTTTCTTTATTCCTTAATAATGCATTAGGTTCTAATGCTTCTCAGCTTTTTGGCTAAGATCAAGTGTAGGTTCTAAGTGCCACTCTGGGAAACAGCTGAATTAGAATTGTGTGGGAAGCTTTTTAAAAATATACATGCTCTGGATCTACCCTCCAGAAATTCTTATTCAGTTGGTATAGGATAAATAGCTTTTTTTTTTTGTACCAGGGATCAAACTCGGGTCCTTGCACTTGCGAGGCAGGCGGTATAACAACTGAGTTAAATCCCTGGCCTGATAAACATCTATTTATAAAATGCTCTCAGTTGTAGTAAGGAGTTTCATTTCCTATTTTTGGCTTCAACAAAATCCAACAAAGAAGAGTAGGAGGGTGTGAAAAAAAGAGAAATGCTTTGAAATGCCTGGGGGAAAATCTCCTATTGATTTCTATCTTATATCTTGCTAAAAATCACAATCTATTTATAATGCTCTCAGTTGTAGTAAGGAGTTTCATTTCCTATTTTTGGCTTCAACAAAATCCAACAAAGAAGAGTAGGAGGGTGTGAAAAAAAGAGAAATGCTTTGAAATGCCTGGGGGAAAATCTCCTATTGATATTTATCTTATATCTTGCTAAAAATCACCACAAGAGGTAAATTTCCATTTCATAAAATCAATCCTCAGGAAAGAAGACAAATTCTGTGGAACATGAATATGGAGTGTCTGACTATCTCCCAAGAGGTTTGGCTTCTAGTTAAAACAATAAAAATGTTAATAGGTCCCCATCTTGTCCTTACTTGACAACATCTCTCAGAAATGGTACAGTGAAGAAATGATTAGCAATGTTGCCCGCGTTAAACAACAGTCGTCCATCTGAGCTTCGTTTTTGAGCTGTTGCCAGGGAAATTTCACTGTATTCTACCACCTGGTACACGCCGTCCACTCTGCAAACCACTCCAACTGGTTCAGTAGGGTTCGTCTTCTCTACCACCTGCCC